AAGACCGCGACAGTTTGGTGGAGAAGCAGGGTATCTTCTCGCCGGGTTATCGTGGGAACGAAAGCGGAGAAAGAGAGTAACTCGAGGTTCCTTGGCAACGGAACGCCAAGGCGAAGGAAAAGAGTAGCGAGAGCGAGACATCAGCTCTCATGGGTGGTCCGGAGAGGGACTAGGAGAGGAAGCGGAGGAGGGGCTAAGTGGATGGGCTCCCCCGCTCGAGACAGAGACACCACCTCCGGCAGAGATTCACGAAGACGAAGACGAAGAGCACGCCGAAGGGTCGGCCGAAGGTGACGCACGTAGAGGAACTCCGACTGGGAGCGGTTCAAACGAGGGTTCGAAACGAGGAACGCCGAGGAGAACCGAACCCAGAGTCGAGGGTCGCGAGGCTCGAAGGGACGGAGAGGGGACGCTCGGGTCTCCCCAAGAGCGAGAAGGATGGCTGAGTCGGTGCTAGACACACCCCGGGGCCGAGAGATGTTTAACCAGTTCCTCGCGCGGCTGGCACGCCAACCTGCGCCGAGCGAAGAACCGGCTCCGGCTAGGATGATGACGGGCGCGACGGCGGACGCCGTAACGCCGACTCCGAGGGCTCGAGAGAGGGACGCGTTCTCCTACGATGCGTCGAGGCCATCGCTACCTCTTGTGGGCGAGATGCAAGGCGAGGTACCGACAGTAACGCCAGCCGGTGCCGCGTTAAACGCGAGGGGAACGACGAGGCACACTCCTACGCGGGTGGGAGAACGCCAGGACGTGGCAAGAACACCGTATCCAGAGGGTGGCACGCTCAGGAGGCAAGGAGGAACGCCTGCGGGAGCGGCGGAGACGCCGACAAGGAGGGCCGGAACGCCGACGTCGGACTCCGCGTTACAAGAGATGTTGGTCAACACGTTTAGTCGGGCACTCCAGAGGCTGTCAGACTCGGCTGGAACGCCGACAAGAACGCCACAACCTGCGGAGGCGAGGCCTGTGTCACGCCCTGTGCCAGCATCCTCGGGGAACGCTTTCGTCGATCAGACTCGACCGGTTAGTACGCCGATGCTCGGGTACCAAGGTTCGATGGCTCCCAGGATGGCGCTACCGGCGCCGGCCTCGACGCCTGTGGGGATGCCGATGGCTGCGATTCCGTCCTATGGTGGCGTGACCATACAGGCGCCGAGTACCAGCAGGAACGATGGAGGGGAC